TTACATATATATGTTTAAAACATTACAAAAGTCGGTCAGAGCATACATACTAAACGACTCTATTTACATGCCAACACATATATCATATAAACATACATACTGTGTAAGGTTCTTCTGATCTGATCTTCAAATGATGATATGTTGCTTTGTTGCTCTTAAGATCGATCTTCTTGTTTTCTGTGCCTACGTGTAAATCACTTACACGCTAAGTCATAGATTTAGTGAGGCATAAACTTATAATGATAATGCATTTCTTATGAATATGAACATGCAACATAGTAATCAAAATTTCATATCATTTCCTATGATTCATATATATATATATATATATATATATATATATATATATATATATATATATATATATATATATATACAATACTAATACTATAACATATAAGGCAATACACATTTTTCATATGATTTATAGGCCCATGTATATACTGAGAACATAAGGTATTCGAGTACATAGAGAAATTGTACATCTGCTGTCACCACAGCTCGTATAAGTCCCACTGAGTGGTGAAGACACTAGTTTTTTTATTTCATTTGTTTTATTTATTATTATTATTTTGTTTTAATAATATTATTATATATTATTATTATTAAATAAATAATTTATTATTATTACATTTTTACAAGCCCAATTACAAATCAACTCAGCCCAGGCCCAATCAGATACAAGCCCAACCCGGATCTAACTAAACCCTAAACTAAATTTAGGGTTTATATCATCTCAGTCAGCCGCCAGCTCTTTTCAGCTGTTGAATCTGGCCTTGATCCAATGGCCCAGATGACTCCAGCAAAGAAAACCATAGGGTATCATAACCCTAGGGCCATGTTCAGCCGCCGCCTCGCCAGAAACCTCCAGCCGCCTTGCCGACGCTTCAGTGCCACGATGACGCCAACAGAATATTCCAGAAGCTCTGCTGTAACGATAACAGCCGCCCACGTCAAGCTCTATGGTGAGTCACCACCATAGCTATGGTGACTCACCGAACTCGACCCTTTATTATCCGGTCCGAGGAGTACACTGTGGTGGCTATAAAAGCCACCACCGAACCTGCAAAGAAGGAGGAGGAAGACAGAAACCAACAGAGAGGAAGAAAGGAGACAGAAACCATAAAAAAGGAGACAAGCAACCACGACAGAAAACAAGCAACAACAACACCCAACAACAGCCAAATAAAGAAGAAGAGGAAAGGAGACTTACCAAGGAACTGCTATCATCGGAGCCTCCCTACGTCTTTGAAACCGAAAGGTCGAAGGTAAAGAACCTTAGATCTACACGTTTTGGTAGTGATCTAAGCTAAAATATCCTCGAATTTGGCTTTAGGGAATTTCGGGCTTCAATTTGAGGTAGATATGTAATTTTTCGGCCACCATTGACCGTGGCCGGCGGCGGTAGTCGATGCCGGATACAGACCGGCCGCCTTCTGATTTCCCTCCGATGAGGGAAAATAAGAGAGAGTTGAGAGAGCTTATAAGCTCTCTCAGTTAAAGAGAGAAGAGAGAAAGGAAGAAATGAGAGAATGGCCCGTAGGGCCAGCCATATTCGGGTATAAATACCCCTTCCCAAACAACGTCGTTTTGGGAGGGGTATATCTGTAATTTCGCGCATGGCCAAACCATACGCGCAGTCATCCAAGTTTGTAATCTTTTCAATTTAGTCACTAGAATTATTTTTCTGGATATTTTAATTTTGTCTTCCAATATTATTTTATTATGTTTTAGTCCTTTCCAGTGTTTATATATATTAGGATAAATACTCATTTTAGTCCCCTATAGTTTTAATTAATTATATTTTAGCCCTGAATAAATAATTAAGGCTAAATGACACTGTTAATTATTATATTTCATAATATTACGAATTAGACCATTTAATCTTAACAAGTTATAATTCAATCCCTAATTTTAGTTTATCGTTTTTTTTTATATTTTAATACCCTAGTTTTAATTTTATTTATTTCAATCATTACTTATTTTAATTTTATATGTTTATTTTTAAATATCTTTAATTAATTATTATTATTATTATTATTTAGTCATATACATATATATAATAAATAATATTTGTTTATTTATTTTTATTTGTTTTTTTTAAATAAAAATCCTATTTATAAATTTAATTTTATAAATTACGTTTAAGAAAAATAATCATATTTTGATATATTTTTTTAATATCGAAGAAAAGAGCTGTCTTAAAGCACCTAGAAGCCCTTTTATGATATTTCTAAATAAGTAAATATCTCCTATATTTTATATATTAATATATTTTTGTAAAATTATAAATTTGAAAAACAGAATTATAAATTAAATATATCTTTGAATTTTTAAATTTCTAATAATAGAGACAATTTATAATTAATAAGTACCAATTTTGGGCGTTGTAGGGGTGCTAATCCTTCCCTAAACGTAACCGACCACGAATCCCTTTTTATTATTAAACAAAATAAATTTTTGGTTAAAACGCAGATCAATTTATCTTTTAACTGATGTTTTCTTAAAATCTCTTTTAAAAGATAATTTTTAGGTATTCGACCTACCTAACCCAAAAGGTCGATGGCGACTCCCAAAACATTTTAAAAATCATTTATTCACATCACTTTTCCCGCCGAGTAAAAAATTCGTGCCCGAACGAAAACCGGTTACGACAAGTGGCATATGAAATTTTGTCCTGAAGGACCTGTGAATATGTCCCAAAGGACCTAAGAGTTGTCCCGAAGGACCTATGAAACCCTCGACTCTTGGCATGCCAACTATACCTAGAGCTCTCATATTACAAAATATGGGCATTAAGATTATAATTCATATAAACATGTACTTATATCATTTCTATTGTAATCACATATATCTTTTATTCTATCACATTTCACCTGTGCATATAACCATCCATCTCATTTTCTGTAATACAAATATTTGAATACATTCATATGGTTCATATAATATGTAGTGAATCATATGTATACATATATGATTTGTACATATGTAAATAAAGACTATAATGTATCCATGTTCATAACTATTATACTATGAAATTAACCTAGGAAATATACTCATCGCAAGTCTTATTTCCATTAGATTATCCCTATATTATGCACTCACATTGGCCTTGCTTGCGTTGATTCAATCCTATCTCTTCGATTGTTTCGTAACTCGTTTAGGCTCGATATATACATAACGTAAATTTTGAGATGATTTTCAGAATCATAAACCTTATAACTTGGTATTAATAATTTAGGCTAATTTAATGAACCAAAAATTCACTTTTCCTTTAGGAGTGTACCGATGCATCCACCCAAAATAACTTCGAAATTTCCATGCATCGATGCACCCCTTAATGCATTGATGCACCTTCAAAATTGTCTTAGTGCATCAGTACCCATTCATAGTGTATCGATGCACCTGTCCAAGATAGGCTACTTTCACCCGAAATTCATCAATACTTCACCACAATTTTCATGTATAAAATCCTTATTATGCTACTAAACTCATCTATAACAACTTTAATTTATTTCTATCATTCCAACACTTTATAATCTCCCATATTTCATCCAAATTCTTAAGGCTAAGAATCATACCAAATTTTCCATGTTATCCAAACTTAATTCTAACACTTATAACTTCTTATTCTCATAGATGACAAGTCAAATTCAATCTCCAAATTCATTTAAACCCTCTCATTCAAAATTTCACTTATCCACTTCCTATTTTTAATCCTTCATAACTTACAAATCTTTTAAGTTTCTATGATCTTTTTCATCTCCATCATCTTTCCTAAAGCTTCATGAATCAAAATCATGCTTTAATTTTAAGAATTAACCAAAAGAAATCAAACTCACCTTGGACTTGGGTGCTTCACGTTTAGGAGAAGAAGAAGATGAAGAAAGAAGAAAGAAGAAAGAAGAAAGAAGAAAGAAGAAAGAAGAAAGGAGAGAAATCTGGAAACATTTGTTTCCTACGCATGCCCCACGTGGATTATAAATATCCATAAATAATATTTAATCATTTTCCTTATTTAATGACCCATTTGCCCTTTGACTCTTCCTTCATTTATTAATTCATCCTTCACCCACATCTTTCAATTAATTCTTTCTCTTTTCAATTTATTTAATTTGATCATCGAATTTTAAAATCTTACACTTTAATTACTAACCCGGTATTGAGGATGTTACATTCCTCGCTTTGAATCAAGTACCAGCTTAATCGACATCGATGTCGTAAATGGTCAGAAATGCTTGATGACATTGATATCGTCCTGCTCTGTCTCGTTCGCCGACTATGGTGAGTTTTCATTAGACGGTAATGGAGTTGTCACAAACAAAATGTTGACAAGCATGCAACTGTTTGGAAGTACAGAAGAGCATCCTTCCATAATGAGCAAAATTGCATTCAAATACTCCAAGCCACATCACATGAGGGGAAAAATGGTCAAACTGATTCAAGATCCTTATTTCATAGTGTACAATGAGAATTAGAGACTGAAATCACCTTTGGGGCAATCCCAGAAGCCAAACTGTCTTTGTCTAATTGATCCCATATGACTTGACCTAAGACAGTTGGTTCACATAGAGATTTGACATAATATAGATCATGGGCGTTTGCACAAAGTTCCATAGATGGAAATATTTAGTCCTCAAAAGAGTGTCATACTCTAAAAGTATTTGGGCAGTCAAAATTAACCCCAAATGGTCATTTTAATTTTGATCCTATTCTTTTTTTTTTAGTATTTTAGCCCCAATATTTTTTTTACATGGGGTGTTTCACATGCAGGAATGGATCGAGTTTACCTTACCTGAATAACCCGAGTTATATTTTCTTTTTATTTAATCATTCGACTTGATTCGATTCCATCTAAATTTAGAGAATAGCTATTCAATTTGAATATGTGATTATTGTGTATAAAATGTGTGTAGATATTCTAAACAAATACTTGCAAACGATATTAGCATACAATAATTATATACGAAGTATATCTATATATCTATATATCTATCTATCTATATTCCTCTCAAAACCATTTCATTCCCTTTCTTACCACCTCTTTGCAACCCCAAATTCCTGAGCTCAAGGAATAACCGTGTCGCCGCCGTCAAAAACCTCACATTCTGCTCCGGTTTCAGTATCTCCGCCACCTTCAACGTGGTACTCATCCTTAACAAATCAGCTCCGACCACAACTTCCTCCAACGCCTTCCTCAACGTGGCCAGCCCAGCCGCCTCCTCTCCTCCACCCTCCGCCGCATCCATCCTCCGTACTCGTTTTCTAACTATCTCGAACAACGGAGGAGCCGCCAAGGTCTCTTGAATCCTAGCCAACTCGTCATTAAGCACCCTCTCTTCAACCCTCGTCTCCTCCATCAGCAGAGTCAACCTCTCGCTCTGCTCTAATGACAGGTCTCGAACCGAGTCAAACACGAGCCTCAACGCGAACCCGGGCTTGAAACCCGATATCCAAAGAGTGGCGCGCTCCAAGGAAGTGAACCATGCCGTAGAAAAAACGAGGAAAACATTGCGTTGAGCTAAACGAGCTTTTTCCTCGAAGTACTGTTGGTAGTGGGAGAGCGCTCGTTTTATAAGGTCCTTGAGATCATCTTCTCGTGATTCATTACGCTGTTGAACTGAGAGTAACTCTTCCAGGTAATGCTCATGGCGGACCATCCAACCCTCGAAGAATGCATTAAACGATCCACCACCGTCGTCGTCTCCGCCGCCGCAGGTTCCGGCTGAACCTGAACTCATTATCAACAAAAAAAGAGGGGGAAAACAAATGTCAGTGGAGGTGATGGGTTCAGGGTTTGAGAAAAGGAAGTTTCATGGGAGACGTATGAAAATTTGGCGTGAAATACAGATAAAGGGAATGCTTTACCTTATATAATTACTGTTTATCTTGAAGTTTGTAAGAGAAAGAAGCAAAGGGGGATGAATAGGGGCCATTTTTTGTGTTAAAAAGGACAACCGACTGATCAGCAGACAAAATGAGAGAGGGGGACATGCATGCACGGATTGAGAATTGGGTGGGGGAAAAGACAGGTTTCGGTGAGTTTTGTTGCGTAGTGATGGGTTCTTGAAAAACACGTTTAGCACATGTCGAAATTTGAATCCATGAGAAAGAAAGAAAAGCAGCTTGGGAAAACAATTTAGAATTATGAAAATGGAGGATTAGGTTGTAGGTGGAGGAAGACACGTTTGTGGAAAGGTGGGAGGTGGAGGGACAAGAAGGAGACAAGTAAGAAGTTGATGCCAACTCATTATTAGGCTTATATTAATTGTTTCAGTTTCTTAATTGTGGACCAAGGAGGGGTTTGCTTGGGTTCTCAGGGTTTAATGGTAGATGGAACAATACAGCGGCGATTTGAGATGAATGCGGCTTGTGTTATTTTATCAGTTACGTCGCCGATCTTGCTGGTCGATGACGTTCACGGTAAGCAGCCGTGGCGTTCACTGTAACACCTCTTTGAATGGTCCTGATACGGGTTTTGGTTTTAATAGGTTCGAAACTGTGTCTTGATCGTAAGAGAAGTACACTGTACACTATCTTTTTATTGTGAATTAAACTATGATTATATTCGTTTACAGTTTATATTTACTTTTATAATGTCATTTGAATTATTTTATTAAATTGTCTAAAAAATATATTATATAACCGATCAGAGAGATAACAATTGTGTATTCTTCCTTGAATAATAATTTTTAAATATTTTATTTAAATAATATAAAAAACAGAATTCTCATCGTCATTTTAAAGGATTTTTTGTTTTTTGACTCGGGATATTTTAAGGGGTAATTTTTTTTAATAGAATAAGAGATTATAAGATGGTAGAACTTACCTATATAATTTCTTAAATCTAATAGTTAGGTGGTATTTGGTTGGATGGAATTGTAAGGAATTGGAATTCAATTCCACCACTTTCTCATGTTTGGTTCAAGTTTTCCAAGGGATTTGGAATCCCTCATGGCTTCAACTTTCCATCAAATGAGAGAAAGTGAATTCAATTCCCTTGTTGGAGGGAATTGAAATTTGATCATACTACCCTCATCAATCTTTTGGTAACTTATTCATATATTGAATAAAAATATTTTTTTATTATTTCGGGTCAGGTTTCTAATTCATATATTCGGGTCGGGTCTGGTGAAACTTTATTTTGATCGGGTCGGGTCGGTTTTTTTAAGTATGATATTCGGGTCGGGTCGAGTTCGGGATTAGGGTGAAAAATACCCGACTCGAAAATATATATAATTTTACCTTATATATTTAGGAATACTTACAATAATACCCCTCTATATATATTTTTTCAATTAAGTCACTGTATTATTGAAAAAAAAATATTTTTTTTATTATTTCGGGTCGGGTCGGGTCGGATTTATAATTCATATATTCGGGTCGGGTAGGGTGAAACTTTATTTTGTTCGGGTTTAGAGTGAAAAAAACCAGACAGACCCAAAAAAATATATAATTTTACCTTATATATTTAGGAATAATTACAATAATACCCCTCTATATATAATTTTTTCCAATTAAGTCAATGTTTTTATTGAATAAAAATAATTTTTTTATTATTTTGTGTCGTGTCGGGTCGGGTTTCTAATTCATATATTGAATAAAAATGGTTTTTGGTATATTTTTTGATAACTAATTAGCATACTCCGATTGGAATGTATCGAAATATTGTTTTATCTTTTGGTAACTTATTAATATATTTTGATTGCGATGATTTTAACTTATGATATAACATGATTTTTCTAATTTATTGAAATGAATAATCAATCAATAAAATGAAAATTTAATATTTTTTTTATTTTTTATAATATATTATTACATGTAAGTTGTAAAATAAACTAAAATAAAGCAAAAAAACAAAAAGGGTAATTCTGTCATTTTACATTACTGAAATCAAATTTATCTAACATGTCCGCGAACCAAACAGAATATGAAATTGGATTCCAATTCCATTTCCTGCCAACCAAACAGAATATGGAATTGGATTCCAATTCCTGACAGATTCCAATTCCTTTACATATTCCAATTCTCTCATAAACATTCTAGCGAACCAAACGCCACCTTAAGGAAATGATCACGTGCGGCTGCCTTAATATACGTCTAGAAAAGGTGTTATCGATTTTGTTATTATTTAAATAACAAAACCAATAAAATATTATCGGAAACATTATTATTTCTACAGATTTTATTATTTTTTCTACCGATTTTATTATTATTAGGCATTTTACTGGAAATGTTAAAAACATTGATGTTTGGGTAAAAATTTTTTATCCATTTTGTTGTTTAAATAATAACAAAATCAATAACGTTTTTTTAGTTGTATATTAAGGGTGTCGCACTGTAGAACTTCCCCTTATATTGATTCAAACATTCCCCATAAAGATTTAAAAGTAATAGAGAAAGACTTTATCGTTAGTTAATATATCTTAATAAATATGCTATTGTTTTTAGGGATGTGCATGAGAACTGAACCCGACAGGTTCCGACTTAACCCAATCGGGTTAGATTTTTTAAAAAAATTAGGTTCGGGTCGGGTCATATTTTTTAAATGTGATGTTCGGGTCGAGTTCAGGTTTAGGGTGAAAAATACTTGACCCAACCCGAAAAAATATAATTTTACCTTATATATTTAGGAATAATTACAATAATACCCCTCTATATATATTTTCAATTAAGTCTATGTTTTTATTGAATTTTTTTTTATTTCGGGTCGGGTCGGATTTCTAATTCATATATTCGGGTCGGGTCGGGTGAAACTTTATTTTGTTCGGGTCGGGTTTTTTAAGTGTGATATTCGGGTCGTGTCGAATTCGGGTTTAGGGTGAAAAACACCGGACCGACCCGAAAAAAATATATAATTTTACCTTATATATTTAGGAATAATTACAATAATACCCCTCTATATATAATTTTTTCCAATTAAGTCAATGTTTTTATTGAATAAAAATAAATTTTTTATTATTTTGTGTCGTGTCGGGTTGGGTTTCTAATTCATATATTGAATAAAAATAGTTTTGGTATATTTTTTGGTAACTAATTAACATAATTCGATTGGAATGTATCGAAATATTGTTTTATCTTTTGGTAACTTATTAACATATTTTGATTGCGATGATTTTAACTTATGATGCTTATTAGCATGATTTTTCTAATTTATTGAAATGAATAATCAATCAATAAAATGAAAATTTCATATTTTTTTAATTTTTTATAATATATTATTACATGTAAGTTGTAAAACAAACTAAAATAAAGAAAAAAAAAACAAGAATGACAATTCTGTCATTTTACATTATTGAAATCAAATTCATCTGATATGTCTGCGAACCAAACAGAATATGGAATTATATTCCAATTCCATTTCCTGCCAACCAAACAGAATATCCAATTCCATTTCTTGCCAACCAAACAGAATATGAAATTGGATTCCAATTCCTGACAAATTTCAATTCCTGACAGATTCTAATTCCTTCGCATATTCCAATTTTCTCATAAACATTCCAGCGAACCAAACGCCACCTTAGGGAAATGATCACTTGCGACTGCCTTAATATACGTCTAGAAAAGGTATTGTCGGTTTTGTTATTATTTAAATAACAAAACCAATAAAATATTATCGGAAACATTATTATTTCTACCTATTTTATTATTTTTTCTACCGGTTTTATTATTATTTGGCACTTTGCTGGAAATGTTAAAAAACATTAATTTTTTAGGTAATTTTTTATCGATTTTGTTATTTAAATAATAATAAAATCAATAACATCTTTTTTAGTTGTATATTAAGGGTGTCGCACTGTAGAACTTCCCCTTATATGGATACAAACATTCCCCATAAAGATTTAAAAGTAATAGAGGAAGACTTTATCGTTAGTTAATATATCTTCATAAATATGCTATTGTTTTTAGGGATGGGCATGGGACCTGAATCCGATAGGTTCCGACTTGATCCAATCGGGTCAGATTTTAAAAAAAAATCAGGTTCGGGTCGGGTCATATTTTTTAAATGTGGTGTTCGGGTCGAGTTCGGGTTTAGGGTGAAAAATACTTGACCCAACCTGAAAAAATATAATTTTACCTTATATATTTAAGAATAATTATAATAATACCCCTATATATATATTTTCAATTAAGTCACTGTTTTTATTGAAAAAAAATATTTTTTTATTATTTCGGGTCGGGTCGGGTCGGATTTCTAATTCATATATTCAGGTCGGGTCGGGTGAAACTTTATTTTGTTTGGGTCGGGGTTTTTAAGTGTGATATTCGGGTTGAGTCGGGTCGAGTTTTTTTAAGTGTGATATTCGGGTCGGGTCGGGTCGGGTTTTTTTAAGTGTGATATTCGGGTCGGGTCGGGTTCGGGTTTAGGGTGAAAAAAACTGGACCGACCCGAAAAAATATATAATTTTACCTTATATATTTAGGAATAATTACAATAATACCCCTCTATATATAATTTTTCCAATTAAGTCAATATTTTTATTGAATAAAAATAATTATTTTATTATTTTGTGTCGTGTCGGGTCGGGTTTCTAATTCATATATTGAATAAAAATAGTTTTGGTATATTTTTTAGTAACTAATTAACATACTCCGATTGGAATGTATCGAAATATTGTTTTATCTTTTGGTAACTTATTAACATATTTTGATTGCGATGATTTTAACTTATGATACTTATTAGCATGATTTTCCTACTTTATTGAAATAAATAATTAATCAATAAAATGAAAATTTAATATTTTTTTAATTTTACCTTATATATTTAGAAATAATTACAATAATATCACCTATATATTATTTTTTTCAAT